GGTTAATTACTGGAAGATGGCGGTTCCGGCCAAAAGGCGTTGCTCTTAATTTCTAATAGATACATTCTGATTTGGGTAAAATTGCCAGTGATTCTATATCATCACTTGTACAGTAGGGTTAGGAGGATAGCTGACTGTTTTAGTTTATTGATTCTTAATTTTTTAAAAGCTTTATTTGGGTTTATTTGTTATTATTTATCTTTTTTTTTAATTTGACCAGAGGGAGACAGACAGAGAGTAAGCCACCAGGTCTAGGACTCAAACCATGGTCAGCCATTTCGGGGTATAGCACCTTAACCACCACGCCACTCACCCCTATTCTTAATTTTTTAAAAGAATTGTTTTACTTATTGCTATTGTATTTAATTTGGCCAGAGAGAGAGGGAATGTGAGAAAGCAAGCTGCTAGATCCAGGATTCAAACATGGTGGCCCATGTGAAAGTCTAGCTCCTCAACAGCTTCTCCACCTGCGGGCCCCCGTTTGTTTATTTATTTATTTTGGAGAGGGTTTTTTCACTATAGGGCACGTGCGCTCCCCACACAGACAGAGAGACATAGAGACAGAAAATGAGAAATCACTCCCCGGGGGGATGGCCACGCCGCAATCCCTTCTCCTCCCTTCTCTTCCATTCTCCTCTCGGGATCTTGGGCACGCACGCACACGCGCCCGGCGTGAGTTTTAAGCCACCGGGTCTGAGATGCAAACCACAGTTGACTACGTGGGAGTCCAGGGACATAGCCATTACGCTAACTGCTGGTTCCCAAGGCCCTCATTTATTTTTAATCTGACCAGAGAGCAAGAGAGAATGCTGCCAGGTCTGGGACTCCAACCACTGTGCCACCTGTTGGCCCTATGGCTGCTCTCTTTGTTGTTGTTATTTTGTTTGTTTTTTAATTATTTAATTTTGTTGATGATTATTATTATCATTTTATTTAGTTTTTAGTTTGCTATAGGGCATATGCACTCATGATGGGGGCGGTAAGAAAGCAAGCTGCCAGGTCTGGGACTCAGACTGCCATCAGCCATGTGGGAGTCCAATGCTTCAAGAACCATACCAGCTGCTGGCCCCATGGCTGTCTGTTTCTAGTTCCCAGTCTGATTTCTGGCACACATTTTCCTTTCATGTCTTGATGACTATTGGGATGTAGTAGAAATGTACAAAACAGGGCTCAACATTAAGAGGTGTAGGCTAGGGGCTGGCAGGTGGTGTTTGAGGGCGCTGGACTCTCACAGGACCGACCCTGGCTCAAGTCCTGGACCTGGTGACTTGCTTTCTCACCCACCCCTTCTTTCTCTCTCTCTCACTCTGGTCAAATTAATGAATAAAGTTAAATAATTAAAAAAAAAAAAAAAAAAAAGTGTAGGCTGTTTCAGAGTTTTTCCTAATAAAAATCTGATTTATTTTGGCAAGTGATAGAGTACAGTAAACATCATACCTATTGTTTAAATTTTTTAAAATACTCGGGACCAGCAGTTAGCGTAATGGCTATGTCGCTGGACTCCCACATAGTCGACCGGGGTTCGAGTCCCGGACCTGGTGGCTTAAACTCACGCTGGGCACGTGTGCGTGCGTGCCCAAGATCCCGAGAGGAGAATGGAGGAGAAGGGATTGCAGCATGGCCATTCCCACTGGGAGGTGATTTTCTGCTTCCTGTCTCTGTCTCTCTCTGTCTGTCTGGTGAGTGCACGGGCCCTCTCCAAAAAAAAAAATTTTTTTTTTTTTAAATACTCTTCACTTTAATTTTTTTTGTACATTAAATGTCAGAATCCAGACCAGCAAGCAGTTGGCCTGGAGATTAAGGTAGCTGGATCCCACATCACTGAAGGCATAATCCTGGACCCAATGACTTGAAAAACATGCCAGGCGTGTTTTCTGGCCCAAGATCCCTAGAGGAAAATGGAGGAGAGGGGATTGCAATGTGGCCACATACACCCCTCCTGCTGAGTACTCACTCGCACGCTTTCTCTCTCTCTCTGTCTATCTCTGGCAAGCACTCACACCCTATAGCAAAAAGAAAAAAAAAAGAATAAAACCCTTGGGCAAACATGAAGCTAAACCATGTTTACTAAGTACTTTGACAGACAAGTTCATGTAAAGTAAAAGTTTTTTGCTTGTTTTTTTATTGTTATGAATGAGGGCTGCCTGCTGCCAGAATATTTAGGCTCTCATTCTGTCCTAGGGACATCTAACAATTTCTAAATCTTAATCAGTTGGTTTCTTTTTTATTAAATTTGCCTGAGATTATGTATACTCATCAAAATGAGAGTGAGTGAGAAAGCAGCCCTGGGTGGGGGTAATCCCGTCACAGTTCTTCATCCTCCATTTCTCCGTCCTTACAGGATTCTGAATGTACGTGCATGCACACCCGAAGTGTGTTTTTCAAACTGCTGGGTCTGGGGCTCAAGCCACAGTCAGCTATGTGGGATCAGCCACTTTAGCCACTATGCCACCACAGGCTGGACCACTAAACAGCGGATTCTAGAGTAGGTGGAAGCTCTCTAGAAACTACCAGGGAGAACATTTAGGATGGGGAGTATAAGAACTAGTGCATCCCACTCGTACGGCTTTCACAAGTGTTAATTGTAGATTTCTTCCTTTTTCCAGGCTTTGACAAACTACAGAAGGCTCGTTTGGATCTGTGACACATCGTTTTGGGGAGGGATGCTCTTCTCTTTGTGGGTTTTTCATCTTCTTTTATTTTGGGACTGTGAAGACTTAAAAGAGCTCAGATGATTTTTCTTTTTTTAACTGGTAAAGAGAAAAAAGCTGAAGAGAAGGACTATACCTTTTTTGTTCCACTTGTTTGCACTGTGTGCTGACTGAACATTAGTTGCACTAACTGCTGGTTTTTAAAAAAATGTTTTCTGGTGGAAGGGGACAAGGAAGGGGGGGGAGAAGGAAGAGAAGGGGAGAAACCCTAAGAAGAGAAGATCTTGATGAACGCAAGCTTGTCTACGATTTCAGAACTCTCCAACAGCTGGCTCTCGTGCATTTCAACTTCTCCCTGATTACTCATCCGTTTCAAGCCTGAAGAGCTTATTACTTATTTGTGCGAAGTGCCTTATGCTATGAGACCATTCAGAATATCATCCTTTAGACACAGCCCAAGGAATCAACAATAGTAATTCTTTCTTTCCTTTTGTTCTTTTTCTTTTTAAAGTTTTTGTCTTTCCATTTTGGTTTCGAGTTGAAGTCTCTTCCCTTTCTACCCGATACTCAAGCCCAGGGCTGGAAGATGAAACTTACTAGTAATGTTAAACACCATTTTCTTTTTCTTTATGTGGAGGAGTTGATATGCAACTGCAGTTCATCCGCACTGTAAATACATGTATTTAAAAAACAAAACAATCCCAAGTAAAAATTTCTTCTGGGCTGAGTAGATGCACCATCATCGCTCCCAAAGGAAAGAGCAGTCTGTCACTGCAGGAGCCATATGACGAGCCTTTGTGCCCTCGAGCAGAACACTAGAGACTGGTGTGTGCACGCCTCCATTAGCAGTGTGGCACTTGATGTGGAGACACGTCAGAGTCTTGACCCTCTTTCCTCTGCGGCAAGCGTGTCCCATAGAAAACTGGCTGTGTATACTTGTATAAACTTTGTAAATAAGTTTTTTTCTTGGTTCATATATATATATATATACATATATATATATTTTTTTTTTGGATGAAGGTTGCTGGGATTAAGGGGATTAGAGTGATTATGGGAGCAGCTAAAGATGAGAGGGGCTCAGTTTTCCGCAACACTAAACCCTAAAAAGTACTTCGGCCTCCTGCCTGTACAGAGCAGACCTCTGTGGGCCCCTGTGTTACAAAGGGGCCCTGAAGCCTAGGCGCACTGTGCTGCCACACTCTTCCCTCTGAGGCCGTCGGCGGAGTCTCACCAGGGAGAGCAGGGAAGCTTCCGCAGTTCATAATTCAGGATGGTTTGTTTTTGTTTTGTTTTTGAGAAGCGCTCTGATAATTGCCTCCTCCCCTTTCTAAATGTTTGAAGAGCTTTTCAAGCTCTGCGAAAGGGGCCAAGACTAACCCACCTTGCAGTGTGGGGATTCTGTGGCGCGGCAGTGTCTCGGAGCAGTGTACACAGAGAGCATGGCTTTGGTTTCCGATGGTCAGCCAGTACCAGCCGGTCACAGTCAGCGGTTCTGGAGCTGAGTTTTCTGTGGATTGTCTCCTGTAGGTGTGAGCGTGTTGCCCTTTGCCTACCTTGATACATAAACTTGCAGGAGTGGGCAACCCCTGAGAGCTGTTAACTTTCATGCTGCAGAAAGCCGCTTACCATCCTCCTTGTGACAAGAACTACCTGTCATTTTGCATTGTAAATTGCTGGCAATCGCTTCACAGTCAATAGTGTTGCTTTAAACTGTGCCCCTCCCAACATGCTTGACGTTTGGCCTGATCTCCAGGCAAAAGGAGTGAGATGAATCAAAACCAGTGAACTTTTTTTTTAATGTTTTTAATTCCCTTTTAACCCAGTATACTAAGTCAATCAGGAGGCATCTAGGAGAAAAAAAAAGCAAAAAACAAAATTGAAAAAAAAATTGATTTCCATATTTCATTATTTTTCAAACCCTAAAATATTATAAGTCCTGCATATGCTTTCATGCTTAATTCATCTGGATAAAGAAATCAATTACTTGAAGTTGCTTTTTCAACTCTGCCTAGTTCTAAGCAAAACTATTTGTGACTCACCCAAAAATTCCTTGGGGATCAAAATCCTGCAGGTGCCTCCTGATGTGACACAGCCCTAACTCCTTAGGAGCTGTAGCAAGAGCTGCACAGTACAGCCCCAAAAGAGCCAGCGCATCGATTTGGAGTCCAGTCACACGTGCGCTGTCCAGCCGGTGCTGGGCACCGATAATACAAACCCCAGTTGATAAAGTAACCTTTTCCAGGGAGGGTGGGGGAGGGAACTTCAAAGGCATCAACTTTTGACCAAAAAAAAAAATTGTCCTTGTACTGATGCAGCTCTTTTTCCTCCCTCTCTAGCGAGATAAGAGGGATCATTCATGTAAAAGAAGCAGCAGAAGGGTGGAAGTGCAGTTCTGTATCTCGCTAGAGAGCGTGTGGGCCACCACAGAAAGCGCAGTCTCCTGGCCAGCCTCAGACTGCTCTGCTTGGTGCCCCATGCCTGTGGGTCCCTCGTAAAGCACAGACTTAACGGTGAAAGTATTACTGAAGTACAGCCTCTGATGAGGAGCGGCACTTAAACTATCTGGGACACCACTGTTGGACACAGCCTGCACAGGCAGCTGTCCGGTTTTGGTGCTTGACTTTTGAATAGGAATTGTTAAATGGAAAGATGCTCTAAGGACTAGGTCAAAGCCTGGTCTCTCTCTCTCTCTTTTTTTTTTTTTTTAAATCCCTCATAATAAGCATTATTACTATTGGGAATTGTTTTCACATTCTTTCCAACACTGGATGATTTTGTGGTTACTTTTTTTCCAAGTAATGATATCTTTTTAGTGTTTCATTTAAGTGAGAACCAGTCCGCATTTTTAATAAAACTCCCTTTAACTCATGATTTATTAGACTGTGGTCGTATGGTTGTGTAACAGGCTGTGAACCGTTACACTCCTTGCTGCCTCCTGGCTGGTTTCGTTTTTCTCTCCCCATATGTTCTGATGGGGAAAGAAACTTTATTGTCTTCCCTGTAAGAATGGAATAAATTTGTTCTGAAATGATCTTTCATAAAAAGAAGGGGAGTGCAATCTAAATATATCTCTAAAATATTTTCAAATTAGTCCCAGCATCATCATAGGGGTTGGCCCACACTGGAGGGTGGGGGGTGGTGTGGTTTTCAGTACTCGTTTTCAGAATGAGATGGGAGCATCTTTCCTTGGCCATGTGCTTTGTGTTTGATACCATCATGCTGGTGAGAACAAGACAGCTGACACAAAGCCTTGGGTGTAAGTGGTTAAAATCAGAACATCTCATTCTGATCACATGATTTAGTTTTTTCTTTGTCTTTTTTTTTTTTTTTTTTTTAGGGGTGGGAGGGAGGGTACTGCACCCCGTAAGGGAGGGTGTCTGCACTAAGGATTTAGAAACACTTTGGAACTCATAACCTCATCAGAAACTGTCTTTAGCCACACTCCTGACCTTCTAGATGAGTAAAAGGAAAAAAAAAAAAAGATGAAATAATTTCTTGGGAATTAAGCCATGTTATTAAAAAGGAAAAAAAAGATGAAATAATTTCTTAGGAATTAAGCTATGTCAGTTTAATTTGCTACTTTTTCAATGTTCTGTGTATCTTTAAAATTGTTATTGTGGAATCATTTTCTTGCCAAATACCTTTGTCACACAAAATTATTGGCCTCATGGGAGCTGAAGAAAGTCAGCTTTTGTGGTGAAGTGAACATGGGTGAGCTTGTAGTTCTACTTTATATTCTTAAAGGTAGTTTTTAAAACTCCCCCAAAAAAATCTACTCTCCTTCCTGATCTGAAAACTCATCTTTGGGGTACAGAGTGTCCAAAGGTTGTAACAGTTCATGAGGTCAGAGGGCGCTTGCCTGGCACCTGGACTCTGCCCTCCACAGCTGGCCGATTCCAACAGAAGTGTATTTAAATTCTCCAGTAGACAGTGCTGGGCAGGGCATGGGAGGGGGTAGGGCTAGGTTATTAAGACACAGGCTACTGGATTTTAACCAATGGTTGTCGGGGAGGGGTGCTTGGAGAAAACAAAGTCACTGTTCCCTTTTTTTGAAACAAAACAAAGTAAAAATTTTATTTTTTGTTCAAATAAAAGTGGAAAAGAATTCCAGCGTCCCTAGACACAAGGGACTGATTCCACTGAAAAGTAAACAGTGGAAATTCAAATTTGAAATATTTGGGGAAAGGGAAATTGGCTTTCTGTTAATTGGCAAATGTTCCAGTGGGACTCTGCTTCTGTTGGGATGTGTTATGTTGTGTGTACACATTGACCAGAGTCTCTGCTGAGCTTATTCTGAACAGATTCAGAAAAGATGGTAAGATCGTGATTTTTGTTAATTTATCTCAATAAAAGCCCACTGGAACTCCATCAAATGTGTGTGTGTGATATGTTGTTAGCAGGCTGTGTGTTTAGGTATCTCGAATTTGAGAGCATCTTACTGAAGTAACTTAGAGCAGGAAGTCAGACATTCCAGGCACAGCCCCTGTGAGGCCAGCTCATTAAAGCCTGAGGGCAGCCTGAGCAGAGAACTGAGATGATCACGTGGGAACGAGAGGTGTTGGCCATGGTGGGTCCAGAGGGGATTCTCAGGCCTCATGTCCTAGAATTACCAGATAGAAAACTGAACACAGAGGTAGGTGTCCTACATTAAACCATGTGAATGGAATTCATATAAGAAGAAAACGGAAAAAATCCAAAGGCCTGAATGGAGAAAGTCTTTTTTTTTTTTTTTTTTAAAGATTTCTGCTTGTAGGGTGCATACGTTTGCCAGAGAGACTGATAGTGAGAAATCACCTGCCAGTGGGAATGGCCACACTACAGTCCCTTCACCATTCTCCTTTAGGGATCTTGGGTATGCACACACACGTGCTCACTATGAGTTTTAAGCCACCGAGTCCAGGACTTTACACCATATGCTGGTCCCAGCCTGAGTTTTAAGCTGCCAGGTCTGGGACTCAAACGGTAACAACCATTACACCATCTGCTGTTCCCAGAAAGTCCAGCTTCTAAGTCAAACACACCATCCTCACTGCCCCTCACCTCCCCAGAAATACTTGGGTATAATTAATAAATTCAAGAATACATACGTGATGACTTCTAAAACATGCTGATGAAAGAAATTAGCCCTAAGTGAATGGAAAAGTGCTATGTTTGGATTTGGAAACCATGTAACAAACTGATTTGATCTATAGGTTCAATGAATTTGCAATTCCAGACATGCATGGAAACAGACCGATTTTAAAGCTCATAAGGAAATTGAAGGGCTCGCAGTACAGGAATCAAGTGTGCCATATTGGCAAACAGACGTATGTTACCAGAACAGACTACACAGCCTCAAGTACGCACACGAGTATGAGGTTTATTGACTGGACTGCACAGGTAGTTAAACACCGTGTTTCAACAATTGATATTGAGAAATGGACATACACTCTTACCATGTTGGGCCAGCTGGTGGCATGGTGGTTAAGACATCTGGATCCCACATGGCCAAGTTTGAGTCCCAGCCTCATCAGCTTGAAAAAATGACAGGCACCTGGATGGCTGAAACCGTGAGGGGAGAATGGAGAAGGGATTGCAATGTGGCCATCCCGGCTGGGTGGTGGGGGAGTGGTTTTTATACTTTGTCACTCTGCCCTATAGCATGCTTTAAAAAAGACATCCATATTAGGGACCAGCAGTTAGCGTAATGGCTGTGTTGCTGGACTCCCATGTAGCCAACCGCGGTTCAAGTCCCAGACCCAGCAGTTTAAACTCAACATCGGGTGCGTGTGGGTGCATGCCCAAGATTCCGAGAGGAGAATGGAGGAGAAGGGATTGCAGCATGGCCATCCCCCTGGGGAGTGATTTCTTGCTTTCTGCCTCTCTGTCTCTGTCTGTTGAGCACACGCACCCTATAGCAAAAACAAAAAGACATCCGTATTGCAAAAGCCAAAATCCTCCACCTTTATTTTGTGCCTTTACAAAAATTAAAATGGATCTGACATAAATGTAAAACAAACCAGAGAAAACAGAATTTGTGTATGCTTGGTTGATTTGAGTTAGGCAGAAAGTTGAATGTGCTGTGATGTATTGGAGATGATTAATAAGCAATTCTGGGGGCCAGCAGGTGGCCTAGTGGTTAAAGACACTGGACTCCCACATGGCTGACGGCAGTTCACAGATCTGGCGGCTTGCTTTCTCACCCCCGCCCCCCCATCCATCTCTGGTCAACTTTTAAAATATCAATAAAGTTAAAATATTTTTTTAAAGAATTATTTTATTTAACTTATACACTTTTTAATTTTAATTTGACCAGAGAAGAGAGAGAGTGAGAAAGTGATCCACCAGGTTCAGGACTTGAACCGTAGTCACCAATGTGGGAATCCAGTGCCTTTAACCACCACGCCATCTGCTGGCCCAAGTTAAAATAATTCTTAAAAAATAAATAAAGGTTGTATCTTAACCAATTTAAATAAATAAGCAGTTCAGTTTTTGCTATAGGATGCCTGTCCTGGAGGAGAGACAGTGAAATACCATCCCCCAATCCTTTCTCCTCCGAATTCTCGGGATTTGGGGCATGCACCCACAAGCCACTGGGTCCAGGACTTGAAACTCCCAGCTGGCCATGTAGAATCCAGTACCTTAACCACGCCACCTGCAGGCCCATCCCTAAACTTTTATTTTTTTTTAAAAAGGTTTCTGCAGTAGGGTACCTGTGCTTACTGGACAGAGAGAAAGGGAAAAAAAAAAATCACACACAAACACACACCACCCCCCAGTGGGGATGGCCGCACCAGATCTCTTCTCCATTCTCTTCTTGGGATCTTGAGCATTCAGGCACACATGCCCAGCATGATTTATCAAGCCTCCAGGTCTAGGACTTGAACCATGCCTGGCCATGTGGGAGTCCAGTGACTTAGCCACTACACCACCTGCTGGCCCCCCCTGACATTTTCTTCTTTAGAGATTTTTACTGTAGGGCACATGTGCTCGCTGGAGACAAAAATCACCCCCTGGGGGAATGGCTGTGCCACAGTTCTTTCTCCATTATCCTCTCAGGATTTGAGGCACGCATGCACATACACCTGGTGGGTTTCAAGCCACCGTGTTTGGGACTCGAAACTGTGACCACTATGTCACCTGCTGGCCTGCTAAACATTCTTAATTAGGTGGATGCAAAAGATAGAGAACGATGTTTTACAATAGGAATTAGGGGCCAGCAGGTGGTGTGGTTAAGATGCTGGACTCCCTTGTGGTTGACCATGGTTCAAGTCCCAAGCCTGGCAGCTTGCTTTCTCATTTTCTCTCTCTCATGGGCATATGTGCCTGTGGCAAATTATTAAATAATAAAATAATTATTTAATTTAAAAAGTTATGAACATATAATTAACAAAGAGATTGAGAGTGAGGGTTTTGAAGAAGGCCCCTGTCTACGGTTACCTTTTTTGTTTTTAAAGAATTACTTTATTTAACTTTATTCATTTTATTTAATTTGACCAGAGGGACAGAGCGAGCGAGCGAGAGTGAGAAAGGAAGCCGCCAGGTCTGGGACCTGAACCATGGTCAGCCCTGTAGGAGTCCAGTGCCCTTAACCACCATGCCACCTGCAGGCCCATGTTACCTTTTTTTTTTAGGCAAGAGTTTTGCTATAGGGTGTGTGTGCTCACTGGAGAGCCAGAGACAGCAAAAGTCACCCCCGGGAGAGGGGAGGATGGCCACGCTGCAGTCCCTTCCCCTGCATTCTCTCAGGACTTGGGGCACGCACACACACATTCCTGGTGTGAGTTTCAAGTCACCAGGTCTGGGACTCAAACCATAGTTGACCACATGGGAGTTCAGCACCTTAACCACTACTATACCTGCCAACCCTGCACCTGGCATGTTTTTCAGGCCACCAGGTCAGGGACTCAAACTGCGTGGGTGGCCGTGTGGGATCCAGCCGCCCCCATGTCACAAGCTGCCACTCCCCTGCCATTATCCGTGGCATGGGTGTAATCTGCAGTTAGAGCTGAGTTACTGGGACTGAGGCTGACCATGTCAACTGCAGTCCCTTCCCCCACACAGCCTGTGGTTTCACCTCGAAATTTGTTGTTCTCCCCAGAGATGTGTCTGCCTGTTAACTGTTAGGAGAGTCACACCCAGGCGGTAGGCCCTAGGCTGTGGCCTAAGCTTGACCCAGGAACTAA